CAACAACAGTTTTATAAAATTTTCATGATGAACTTGAATAATAATTTTATTTTCAATAAATTGAACAATTTCCAGAAAATTCTAGTAAGGAAAATTGAAAACACAAACTTTAAATTTATTAATGCCAACAATTTGGTAGAATTCATACAATACTGTAAAAATATACATATATGTATACATATTTGTGTGTGCACTTAAGCATAGTGAATCCACTGGGTGCAAATGTTTAAACTTTTAAAATTCTTACAAGCCAGTGATTTGCGACTCAAACAACAAATATAGCCTGCAAAATTGATATAACATAATCTGGCAGGAGTGATTTTAAAATAATGTTATGCATCTGATAGTGTGCTGTTAAATAAGGATGATGGACGACAGTTAACTAAGCTAACCATTGCGATGGTTATAGGTTCAATTTCTGTTGATGCCACTGTTAAGATTGATTTAGCTAAAAACACGACAATTCAGTAATGTAACTATTTTACATTGTGACAGAAAAAAAATTATCAAACAAATACACACTTGACCAGGCTGAGGAAGTTGAGCTTGTAATAAATTAATATCATGTGGCACAGAAGATGATGACAGCTGCAATCCATTTCCTAGATTGACCGGTATCTTGACGAGGGAAAAATTAAGTAACACTGTTGTTAATGCAGAAAGTGAATGAAGCAAAATTTTTTAACAAAATTAATAAAGTACCTGCAAGAACTGCTGCTGTCCTATAGCATTTGGTAACAAAAGTCCTGAAACAAGGGGCAGTTGTGTCTGTGGTTGAGGTGCTGCGGATAGCTGCTTCAGTTGTTGAGCACTGTTACCACTCAGTTGCAGAGGAATAGTCTGAAGACCTTTTTGATTGTTGGCCAGAAACGTCATCTATTTTTTTAATAATATAAGCATAATTCAATTCCTAATTGCATTCTTCCAAAACCATTCACAAATATCAATTCAAAGTTACTGAACATCTGAATAACACAACTAACAAGATCAATACTGGGTATCTGGTTGTTGGACTTTGATGCATGTGCATGATCTTCACTGCCTGTGACAAATAAATTTCAATTTATTTGAATGCTCCCAATTTAAATTTTAACTCACACATCTGCATCATTCATGCAAACACACATACACCACACACACACACCACAAACACACAGTTATTGCTCATACAGCACAAATTAAAATCATATTCAAATGAATCCACTGCATATTCGAATAATAATGAGCACACATCAAAAATAATTAGTTATAATGCAAATTAATATTCATTAAACAAGGCAACATCAACACAAGAAATTACTGCAAAGGTTTTGAAATAACTCAACTTCTGAAATGATATTGATATTAATGACTCATATCAACAATGCAATTAAAAATTTAGGTGATTGTAATAGCATACAAATTAGAAGTGGAAAATTTTCTGCATCAAAAATCAAGTCCAATTGTGATTGTTTTCAATAAATATAATAATCAATTGTAATAATAAATGAACATTGATTTTCTTTCAGAACATGCAATTGATGATGAAAAATGTCAAGAGTTTTAACTTTAATATATAGTTATATACATAACCTAAAAACTTTAATGTTAGGCAGGAAGAGCTAGACTGCTCATAGTCAAATTTAAGTGCTATGTACTGCTATTTGATGACTCTTGGGAATCAGATTCTAAATTATTCATAACATTTATCTTCTATTTACCAAACAACTTTAAAAAATTTCAATGTGCACTAGTTTCTCTTCGAGAGAGAATTTTCAAAACACTTCAGTTGGCTCATATTAAGCAATGTGGGTTTATTTCTAACTATATGAAAAAGTAACTTATTTCCAAATGGCACATGCTCTGAATTATGATCCTTTGACTTATGGAGGTGTCACATTTAGTGTTGATAATGCATTTACACATTTTGAATCCAAATGCTTTTGCATTTTGGATTCGAAAAAACCGTCAAATATTAATATTAAATTGCAACCATATAACTTGGAAACTTCATCAATGTTTTGATTAAATTACCAAATGAAAATTTCAAAAGTTCAACAAATGAGCTCAAGAAAGTTAAACAACCGTATTGAACTGTATGTACAGTACAATATGATGTTGCAATATCTATTCAGAACATTCATCAACTGCAAAATATAAGATCCACATACTTTTTCTGTTTAACACAAAAAATAGTAAATCTTTATTTTTTGTTGCTGATATTAATCTTATTTTATATAAAATATTTCAAATTAAAATAATTTCCACATGAAATTTTACAAGTTTGTTCACATTTTGAGTTCATTTTGAAACTGGAAAACTTAATTAGGAGGCTAATTATAAAGAGGAAAGATGCACCACAATTGAATATCTTGAAAAGTGGATAAAAATGACTAGATCAAAAAATGGGCTAAAAAGAAACAACTTTGTTTGATGTTGCAATGTAAAATAATAACATCAATATGGAAACTGATCAGAAGGTGACAAATGGCAGAACATTATCATTATCTTAGTAAAGTAAATTAAATCTAAATGAGACACCTTATTTTTGAAACCCTTCCTTAACGCTTAAGCCTTAATTAAGGCTTCTTAACACCAGATTCTCACGTTTGGGACATAATTTTTATCATTACAACAGACCACACTATCAAATCAACTGTTGATTGTGGTGATTGATTGATAATAAAAATAACTCTCCTCTTAACAGTAACACTCGTCTAACTGAACCAGTTCTTAACCATGCAAGTCAACTCAAACAAATCTATTCTAGACTAAAAAACTTCTTGGTAGCAGGGAGAAAAGTTAGAATGAGCCAGCGAAAAATTTTTATTTTTTGTCTGGGTGATTGACACCTGGCAAAAAGACTTCCCGTTAGCGCCGTTAGAAAAATGACGAATTAATATTCATCGCATCGCTGAATTAAATAGATGAAAAACAAAAAGATTTTTTTACTTATTAATATATTCAAATATTCAAACAAAAATGCAAACACTAGCCTTTCAATGCCGACATCTTGAATGAATATTAATGCAGTATATCTTCACGATGAATAATTACACAAATACTCTGATGAAAATAACTCCAAAAACATAGCAATCAAAAATTAGTTGCACTAACAAGTTTCTGAAATATTTCTTACAAAACAAAGTTTACAAATTCCCGAAAAAGTTTTTAAATTTAAAAAACGAACGATCGATCGTGACCAATGAATATTCAAAATGTCTTCCAAAGTGCGTGATGAATAAACATACTTGGCCACAAAAAAGAATATAATCAATCAAAGACTATGAAACGTCAATGTAATTAAATTTAATATTTTCAAAAACAATTAAAATTTAACAATTGTTTTAAAATGAAATAATTAAAATTTTTTAAATTTAAAATTTTTTCAATTAAAAATAATTTCAAATTGACAAAAATTTATTTGTTTTATTTATTATAAACAGCTTGCATATTAGTAAAACTTTATTCCTCATTGGTGTTTCTCTTCATTAGATTTTAGTTTTACTTTTTGATCTTGTTAATGTTTACATTTGTTTTTGGTGGTTGATCACTATTCCGTGCAATGAACTTCAATTTTGGCCCCCCGTTATTCAGTTCGCTGCAAAGGCCGCCATTGAGCACGATGGTCACCCCCGGATCCGCCATCATGATTCCACCTCGTCATTTAAATTTGATAGCCGGCGGTGGATTAACTGGACTATCAACTCCGGCAAATGACGTAGGTCGTGCAATTCAAGAGAATATGATCCGGAACCAACTGAACGCTTCGTCGCTCCTTTCTCCACTCCTAGTTCGTCCTCCAGTTATTCATCCTCCTGCAGTTTCAATGGGCCACATCAGGCAGGTGCATCCTTCAGCTGCTATTGAAAGTATAGTGTATTATTATATTATATATATTATATAGAGTGTATATAGAATTATAAATAGATAGTTTAATTAGTTATTAAAAATAAAATTTCGAATTTATTTATTTAAAAATTTTTTTTTATTTGATTTTATTCATTTTTAAGAAATAATTTTTTAATGTTGGTTTTCTGTATTAGTATTATAATATAATTCTATAATTATAATGCCTAACCTAACCTTATATATTATAGGCCCTAAGCATAAAGTAGTTACCTTCTTTTTATTCATCAATAATTGATGTTTTTAAATTTACCTAGATGTTTGAAGTGGTTGTTTTTTTTAGTTTAGTAATTAGTATAGTTAGTTTTAATAAGTTAATAAATAAAAAAAAATTTGCTTTCAACAGTTCCAAAATCAACTTTCCATAATAGACCAATTGTCCCGACTGCATTTGATGTTCCACCTCCTAGTTTTATGTTACCAAACGAGTTTGCCATGCAACAGCAGCCTAAACCTCAGCACCAACAAGTGTTACCTCTGCCACAGTCTTCATTACTGCAACAATCCTCATTAAACAAACAACCATCAACTCTCAATTTAGATCAGCAACTTAAGACGAACAGTAATTCAAAAAACGTCAACAGCATTCAGTCATTGTATCCCCACATCAACTCCAATGTCCCTGCACATTTTCACCAGATTTCTGATGGCAGTGATTCAATCAAGCCACTAGTTGAAATGGAATCTCCGTTCCAGCTTGATTCATTCATTTCAGACCTACATTTGGAAATTTACAGAAATGGGTATGTAAATAAGTTTTTGTATACTGAGTCTCTGATGTAAATTTAATAAAAAATTTGTAACAATTATGTTTTTCTTTTGTTGGTTTATTAAGTGTCAAATGTAACATTACAAATTGTAATAGTGGGATGAGATTTTTTTCACTGAAATTGTTTTCATATTTTAAAAACTGTAGGTCTGAAGCAAAAAATTTGACGGCACCCTCTGGATTTTGTTTTTGTTGGGGAGGTGTGAAGGCCAATTGTGGAGTCACCAGAGGAAAGGTAGGTGGTAGTTGTTCACTGATTAGTGTATTTACAATTTGATGTCTTCTGATTTAAATGAAAGGAAGGCTAGGCTGTTTTACCATTTTCAACCTGGTTTTTTATTGCTATTGTAAGAATGCATTGTCATTAATGGTTAGGATGATAAATTTATTAAAATCATTGTCAAGTGTAGTGAACATATGGATTTTGTCATAAATAATGAAACACGTGAAAAATGATTTCTTCCATTCATATTTTGTGTTCAAATTATAGGTCATGTATGAGGTCCGTATCTTGGAGCATCTGGCAGCTGATTTCGGTGAGAACCACATTGAAACGTCACCTCACCTGCTGAGGATTGGATGGTCCATGGTGCATGCGTCATTACAACTCGGTGACTAAGTCTCTTTTTTCATCTATATCATTCACTCACAATTCATTCATCATTTATATTATATTTCAATATTCTATCATTTGTGAATATTCTCCTGTAGTTGAGATGTGATGAGATATTTACTTAATGTTTAAGTGTTGTTTAATTAATATTATTAAATCGCTATTTTATTTTATTTTTTTACAAATGATGATGTCTAGGGGAGGAACAGGATTCCTGGGGTTATGGAGGAACAGGAAAGTTCTCTACCAACAACAAATTTAGTGATTATGGTGAAGCGTACACTATTGGCGATGTCATTACGGCGTTTTTGGATTTGGATTCGAAACCTGCATCAATCTCGTTTGCTAAAAATGGCCTGTGGCTGGGCGTGGCTTCACCGTTGCATGGATTCAAAGTTGATCAGAAGAGTCATGCCATGTTCCCTCACATTCTCTCCAAGAACTGCAGGTTAGATGAACGTGCTTCCAAACCTTATTATTAATTTGTAAGAATTATGACCTAGTGTTTATTGCTGAGTTTATCTGCTTGCACGCACACACCACACACATGCATACATGCATCATTGTTTTTCAACATCTTTCTGAATAGATGTGTTGCTAAATGTTGGAGAAAAGTTATCAATTAGTCTCAATTTCTTCTTTATTTTATCTACAGATTTGAAGTAAACTTTGGCCAGCAGTCTTCATGGTGTCCAGTGCAGTACGTCAACCATGATCATGTCTTCATAAACAACATATCTCCAATGTACACGGCACCTGGTCCTAAGCCACCTCAATCCAAATCTGATTGCGAGGTTACCATTGGTGATTGTGGTTGTTTTGGCAGTGATGAGTATAAGGTTGATGGTGGTAGTGTTTTTATTGCTGTTGTTGATGATTATTAATATTAAGCTAATGACTACAATTGAAACAGGTGATAATGGTTGTTGGCCTGCCTGGTTCAGGAAAAACTACATGGGCACGAAAGATGTTCCGAGATCACCCAGAGAAAATGTACAACATCATTGGGACCGATGACCTGATCGACAAGATGAAGGTCATGGGTCTACCAAGAAAGAACAACTATAGTGGAAGGTGGGAGGTACTCATCCAACAAGCAACTAGTTGTCTCAACAAAATTTTCTTCATAGGTTCTTTTTTGTTGCTTCATTATTATTTGTGTTTCTCATTTCATATTGATAATGAAGAAAATTTTTATATAATATAATATTTTGGATTCTATTGTTTTAACAATTTAAAAATCGGAATCCAGCAAGCAGGAAGTTGCGCCATTACATAATTGACCAGACGAACGTGTATGCAACTGCTCGCAAACGAAAGATGAAAAATTTTGTGGGGTTCAAGAGGATTTGTGCTGTGCTGCAGCCTGAAGATGATGAGTTGAAAAGAAGAGAGTGGAAGAGGACATTTGAAGAAGGTGCAATACTTTACATCTCTAAAAAACTCTGCTCATTTATTCATTCATTCATTCATTCATTCATTCATTCTTTCATCCATTCATTCATTCAAGTTATTGTAAAATTGACAAATTAATTGAGTGTAAAATGATTTCTGGTTATGAACATTTCATGAACTTTCCATTAATCAACAGAGCATTAAAATAGAGCATTGTTTTTCATTCAATCACAAGAATAAATTTGTTTAGTAATTCTAAAGATTCATTCCATTCAGAATGAACGTGAACTGTTGTTAATTGAACACAATTCAGGTAAAGTAGTACCAGAAGAGGCAGTGATGGAGATGAAAATGAACTATTCTCTGCCTGATGCAGAGGTAGATGAACACATTGACGAAGTCATCTGGATTGAACTTGGGAAGGATGCTTCCTGTCAACTAGTCAATCAGTTCGTTCAGTGCTGTTGTACTGTGGTGTTTTGTCTGTTCATTTCAAGATTATTGATAACTTATTGATATCTGAGTTTTTTGCATGATAATTAAATCATTGAGCCAATCCATTATAGATTGCATGTTAAATAATTACAATTTATTAATCTACAGATACAATGAGGAGGGAAGCCTCAAACTACCATCTAGAAAAAGATTGAGCAGTACAAGTCTTCCTAATAACAGCAACAACAGTAGCAACAACAACAGTAGCAGCAACAATAATGTCCGTACTAAAATTTATTACATGCATTTATCGAGTTGTCACTTCTTATGATTAGTTTTTATTTATTTATTTGTTTGTTTATTTTTTTGTCATTTTCTGTTTTGGAAATAGTCCTATGCAAAATAATTTTTCTTATTAGTTTCAATTTTTTGAATTTTTAGTGGTAATGAAATTTTTTTTTTCAATTATAACAGATATAATTATTATTCAATGCAGCGGCAGCAGCAATCAATATCAGATTATATATACTTAATAGCACGTTTGAATGTTAGCTATGTATAACATTGTTAAGCATCATAGCTTTTGGAAGTTTCAACTTTTTGTTTAATTTAGCATGACTTCTTAAGATCAAAGTTGTAAAGATTTTTGGGTTTAATCTTTTATTTTTATAGATTTTGCTACCTGAATTTTTTTGACAAATGCTATATTGATCAATTAACAGATGAATGTAGGATTTGGTCAGATAGAGAACAAAAAGGTGTTGAAATCAAATGATGATTTGTTGTCTCCATTGAAGCAACCTCGTGAACAACAACCTTATGTGCAGGAACGGTTGGAGCATCAGCAACATGACAACTTCTCACAGAAACCATATGGTATGCTGCAACAACACTTACAACAACATTCTCAAGAAAGACATTCACAACAACAAGGTGGGCAACAACAAAGTGGGCCACAACAAAATGAAAGTCTTCCAATGCAGTATCCTAGTCAATCAATATCTAAACCTTTACAGCAGCAGCAACATTATAAGCAGGAGGATGGACAAAAAGATGAATTAAATTATAAGACAAGCACTCCATATCAGATCAATAAATATGAACCATTTACAACAAACTCAATTACAACAAGATCCTTCGACATGCCTGACTTATCAATACCTCCTCCATTTTCTTCCACATTTCATTCAATAAAAACTACTGCAGATTATTTAAGCCAAAACCAGCCATCAGTGTTGAAACAAGAACCACCACCACAGCAACTGCCGCTTCAACAGCAACAGCTAATGTACCAAGAACAACTACAACATCAGACTGATCAACGACAATACCCACAAAATTTGTTTCAGCAAGCTAGTGATTACAGGCTGACAGATACAGATGTGAGATACTCGCAAAATTCAGAGCAACATCAACAAACAAGCAGTGATCATGAGATGCAGAGCAGCAGATGGCCCATGAATAATGAAGAAAGACAAGGCTCTGGCATTAAACCATTGATGGACTTTATGCCATATAATCTCAACAGATTGTACTACCTTTTTTTCAATTTTATTGTTTCATTTTATATTTTTCAAAAATAGGATAATTGCAATCAATCAATGATCTTCTTTAATTTCATAAGATAGTTGAGGCTAATGATGTCCATCTATTTTGTTGATTTATGAATTTTCACAGTCCTTTTAATACACCCACTTCTATTCTTTTTTAAAACAGCAAATCTGTTTATGTTCACGGATTTTCCATCTTGTGATTTCTATTTTTTGATGATTTTTTCGTTTTTGCTATGTACATTTTTGATTCTTGCAAATTCTTTTAATCTTTCACCACTTTCAAATTCTTTTAATCTTTCACCACTTTCATACCTGTCTCCTAGGCCATATTTCCCATAGCATCTTCCTTCAGTTTAATATTATTACCATTTTTTGCATTTCAATCTCAGACAATAGTGTGATATTTTTTAATAGTGTTTTCATTACTAATTCTATTTGTTCATAAATAATTTGACCTCTTCATGAGTGATTTGGGGCTGGAACATGAGCTATAAAGATCAATATTTCTTGGGTATACTTTAAACCTGGTGTAAATCATTTTTTCATTAACTAGGTTGTATTTTTTTATGGCTTTTCTTGCTTTATCTCCAAACATGATTGGGCACCGTTTTTACATTTAACCATATTGTTTCTCATCTTTTAATTTCCCATTTCCTGTCCATCGAACAAATTTAGCACAGATCGATTATTACATCATATCTTAATCATTCTAGCTTGTTCTTTAGCATCTTATACATTTCTGTCTGGCATTCCGAATTTCTACTGTAAAATTCACCTTTACTCATTCATTTGATGTTTGAGAGTGCATTGCATTCTGAGAAATTTAATAAGCATGCACTTCAGGGGTTTGAGTAGAATAGATATTGAATTGGTTTCTTAAACTGGTCTGGCTTCCAAAATAACACGATATTCAATAACTATGATGTAAATTTTGTAATTATTATGTTTCGTCACATTTTAAAATTTTGAATTGAATTATAAACTCATCTTTGAAATAGATAAAATGAACAACATTTAATACATAATACTTTACAGCCGTCAACAGGACACAGATGAAATTTGGAAGCCAAAGGTTGACAACTACGGTGAATGTGGCAATGATTTTTATAGGAATGATAGAAACGAATATGATGATAACGTCGAATACAGAGGCAGAAGCAGATATGCAGCAGATGAAAGAGTGAATGATAGATGGAGTAGCAGAAGGTCGAGAGAACAGTCGCCTATTCCATCATACAAAAGGAGAAATTATAGCAATCAAATGGATGATGATGCCGATTGGAATAGAGGCAGAACGAGGAGTCGTAGTCGAGATGACAGAAGAAGAAATTACAATGGCGGCAGTCGAGAGGAAAGAAGATCGGCAAGGAGTCGGAGTCGTGAAGACAGGAGGCCCACAAGAAGTGGCAGTCGAGAAGATAGGAAGGCTGCAAATATGAGAGGCTACGACAGTAGAGATAGGAGGGGTGGGGACAGGAGACCCATCAGAGAACCATATAACAATAGCAGTAATGCAAACGACAGACACTTTGATGCTTACAACAGGGACAGAGATGAGAGATACCAAAGAAATAATCGGGATAGAAATCATCCTAACAACACTAACAACATTAATGAGAGGAAGGTAGATGACGAGAGATCATATAATGACGGTAGGAACAAACTTGAGAGCAACATAACTGAGATGAAAAGTAATGATGAAAACAGAAGAAACAGAGTGACAAAAACTAGGTGGGAACCAGTAAACAAGAATACTGAAAACACAGGAAACGTAGCTGATAAACTATCTCAACATGAACAAAATCAGCAGATGCAACCGCTTTCAAATCAACAACCACCAGTTCAGCAGAAACGAGAGCCCCTCATCCATCAGACGCCGTCACTACTACCGCTACCGGAACAACAACAAACACAATCTTCAAATTCTTTTCAACTACAACCGCAACAAAAAACAAAACTGTCGCAAGAATCAGAAGAACAAAAACCTCAACAAAGTTCTTTAAGGAACTCATTACCCATGAACACATCTAAACCTCTCTTGAGCTTACCAACGTCATCTAGCATTACAACACCATCTACCTTTATAAGGCCTTCTGGTAATACACAAGTGACCCCAAGGGCTCCACCACTTAGAGGACCGAGACCCATGCCTCCAAGAATACCTCCACAACAGCTTAGCAGGCTGAGGTTTTGAGCTACTTTAAATAGCCTGACTTTTCTTTGTTATTTTTGCTGACCGTTTATTTATAAGCCGCTTTTCAATCATTGTTTTATGTTTAAAATTTTGTTTGGAATTTTTGAAAACCTTAGAAGTAAACATTGTTTATATATGTATAACAAATAAATGTAAAACAATTCACAAATCTTCCGAGCGTTGTTGATTTATTTTATTGCTTTTGCATTGTTATTTACAAGCACATGATGTTATTGAAAGGACAACGTAAGATCGTACAGGTACTATATTCAGTGTAGGACTACTCATATTGTAAATATTAAAAGTGAATGTTCTTATGAAACAAATGTACAAAGACCGATGGCCACCTCTTTCAACTAGTCCATATTATAATAATCAGTTCATGAGTGCAATCTTATTCTTTTGCGGTTCACTCCTTTTGCGATCTTCTTCCTCATATTCCACTTTTAATATTGCCCTTTTGCGAAGTTTTTGTTTCATTTCTTCTTCACCTTCATCATCCTCTTCCTCTTCTCCCTCCTCCATATCCTGAGGAACGACATATTTGGTTACGAATTAATAAATAAATAAGCATTGGTCAAAATTTATGATGTACCATTATTTCATTTGTAAATTACACAATAATTACGGCATGTTTAATATTAAGTTAGTGTCTGGTATCTCAACTAGAAGTGAGACTATTTGCTGGATGTTTTGTGGTTTGGAGAAGTTAGATTTTTTTTTGAAGATCATTTAGATTGTGCGGTTGTGGAATTTGCGTGTGAGTCATGCTTCTGATTTGTACACTACAGAAATGAACATTGATTATAATTGACAGCAACGAAAAATGAGTTTTTAAAATAAAAATTCAGCAAAAGATTGATTGAAGAAGCTGAGCTTTACGAAGTTAAATAGATGAAAACACGCAGGCATGCACGACTGAATGCTTAACGTGTTCTTTTCTTGATTTCCAAAGTTCAAATTAAACTAAAATGTGTTAAAATATTTACCTCTACGTCAGAAAGATCACTTTCATCAAAATCTTCCACAAATTCTCTCTCTCCTTCCAATTCGTTATCTTCTTCATCTTCCTGCTTCAAAGTTACAAATTTAAGCAAATGAAAAAATGAAAAGAACCCAAAAATTAAGCTTGACAATAATTTTATCAGATTACTTCAATTATTAGGTTCAACATTTCTGGGTGGATGTGTAGTAAATAATCAGCATAACAAAAAATAAACCGTTTGCTCTAAAGTTGTTTAACATTTATATAAAATAAATATTTCAAACTTGAAAACAACAAATTGCATTCACATTGACAGCAGTGTCAGTCTCTTCCTCCTCACTGTCTACTTCCAATTGTTCCATGGCTTGATTGTATGAGTGTTGAGGGAAGTTGTATATCTCTCCATACTGATTGATAGTTTTTATATTAAATTTGTATTATAGCAAATAAGATGAAACAGTAATCTTGTGCACGTATAATAATTAACGTAACAAATTGATGAACTGACCTTTCCTGCTTTCAATCTTTCCAGCAATTCTTTTTCGATGGCATTGTCAAGTTGAGCGGCAACAAGAGCCTTTTCCTAGAAAGAAATCAACAACTTTATAACTATTTTACACTGATATTCATTAAAAACTAAAATTTTTCAATTAAGGCTAGCAGTGTTGGCCGTAAGAAAGAATGCTGAGATACTATGGGGATCTATGAAAAAACAGACAACAGCAAGAGTCAGATTGAAAAAAGGAACAAATAAGCTAAGTTTTTAAAATAAAACGCTAACGCTCTAAAAACATGACTTTTAGATATTCATTTAAGTCTTAATTGATGCAAACTGAACAGAATAATACTTATCAGCATTCATTAATTTGATTATATTGTTTTTCTGAAACAATCCAACCAGGCTGCCTGATGTACATTAAAACTATGAAAGCATATGACAGCCTCTAAGTCTTGAATGAAGTAAAAAAATGTTGGGTTATTTAGAGCATTTGTGTTAGCCCAGGCTAAGAAACGTATCTGAGGGCCAAATAGATTGGGATCAAATAATAAACAGCGTGTGGTCAGGAAGCAAAAAAATGCAAGAAATGTTGAAGTTTCAGATATCAAGTAAGATAGAGCCAAAAAAAAAAATTGAAAATGTCCACAATTGTTACAATCGCACGTTTATTCTCCTATTCAGATTTTTATTATAATAATGTCACTTTATATAGCGCCATGGCAAGGAACTGAGACTCATTATTATAATTATTACAACACAATGTATAAATACAGTTGAATTGACGCGTCCCACCCTCTCCACATTCGACCCCACTCACTGCATCAGCAATGCCAAACACCTTAACCATTACACCATCACACTGCCCAGATTTTATATTTTAAAAATAGAACGGAGTTCAATAAGAAATAATCACTGGCGTGATAAGTCCAGAAATTGAAACTGATAAAGATGGTAGATCGAAAATTTTTCCAATCATCAAAACATTTGAAGTTTTTAAAACCAACTTCTCGTCTGTTTTCTCTTCTTTCGACCTTTTGACTCAATGGAACAATTTTTTTTCTGTGGGAGCATTAATTTGAATTCTGTATTAAATATGGATACTATTTATAAAAGTTATGTTTTATAACATTGTGTTGAAAAAATTTTAGTTTGAAAACTATTAGTATGCATATGCACAATTGGAATATAGTAACATATAATGTATTTTACCAAAGTTTTACGCCTTGATCTAACTGCAATTTAGACAGTTCTAGATCATTTAATTCTCAAATCACTTTGAATGTTAACAAGACTTTCTACTAGTCAAAATGATGAATGTTGCAATAAAATATTTGCTGAATTGTCAAATTGGATCAGTTGAAATAATATCAACCAGTGATGTTCATACAGGCCTAACAATTTTTCTGCCTTTTCACAGACATTTAAAAAACATTATGGTTGAAGACAGTCAAAAAATTACAGATTGTGAGATAATGAACCATGAAAAAACCATTCAAACCCTTTAAATTTCTCTATACAGACATTACATAAATTTGAATAAAACACAATAATGCATAAAAAATTTCTTTTAACACCAAAAATTTCAGCACAATTTAATCTATTTTGATAAAACAGGAGATACATCATGCAAAAGGTCAGGTAAAAACTACTGGAAGGAAATAGTGATGAAGAACCTAATAAAGAAAATTGAACAAATGGGATTAAAAGCTGTCAAGAAAGAAAGAATAAGAAACTTACTGTCTTTTTAATGTCAATTTTCTGATTTGAACCAAGTACTGCATTACCCTTGTATATCGCTGCTTGCATTTGTGGATAATGTATCTGATAAAAATGTCAACATAATCATTGTTTCAATTTAATTAATTTGTCTTTGATGAAACTATTATCACATCAGAAATATGAAAAGATTAGATTAAAGTATATAATAGTGGTATAGCTAGTTGAAGATTTATTTACTTAGGCCAGTAAATGAGATTTTCATCAATTTGTTTGAGTGATTTCTCAAAATCTTTGCTTAGTTTTACTTTCTCCCAAAGTCGGGCGGGAAAGGCTGACCTCTCAATTGTCTTCATATACAAATAGCACACACCTGTCGAAACAAGTTAAATAAAACATTGAAATAAAGAATTCAAAAATTATTTATATAAGATGTTAATTAAATCAAGTAGAGTATATTAAAAATAAGTAAGCAGAACAAAATTAATCGAATTTGAATTGTTCGTCGAAGGAAACCTTTTTCTTCTCTAACTGTTGCATATCTGCTGTTGGCCAGTGGACACATTCTACGATTGCAAAGGCCAGTCAGGTTATATTCATTGCGACAAAACTTCTGGGTTTTTGTGCTGAAATTTTCATCATTACATGAAAATATCAATGATTATATCAGTTAAGATAGCAATATTTTTTAATAAATTTTTAGTATGCTATCTATAAAATAATGCAATACATATAATAGCCCAAAGCAGATTACTGCAAACAGTTCCAATCGTCAATTTTCACATCCGAATTGCGGATAAAAAATTTTCAAAATTCTGCAGATTTTACAGTTTGTGGATTTTGTTTCTTTGGTTTGCCAATAAAATTAACGTTGCAATGAAACTTGTGATGGATTGGATATTCTGGGGTCAGCCAAATAAGGCGTACGTTAATAAACATCTCAAGTCAGCCACTATATTTTTAGATATTGTCGCAATGTACCACATTATTTTAATACAATTTTCAATCAAATACATGTCATTAATATCATATCAATTATATTAGAACAATTTGTTTTGATTAAATTAAGAAAAAATGTGTTTCATTGTCTTCGGCCAACTATAAATCAGCTAAGTCAGAGTCTAACCCCGAAACAAATGCACGTTTTGAAAACTATTAACATCACGCACACTCTTTGTTATGATAACCAAAGTTTTAATTAGAATTTTAGATCAAGAAGTAATCTGTAATTTGGCTAACAGCTTAGCCTGTAAGACTATTATAATAAAATGCTGACACCTTCATCCTTGAAGTATTAATGTACGAAGATGTTGATCATCTTTAATTTAATGAAAACCGTGAATAAAAAAGTACAGCCAACCAAATTTTGAAGGAGCAATGGCTGCCATTCACAATACTCCATATAACCTGGAATTAAATTACAAAAGTTTAAAAAAAGTAAAATATACTTAAAAAAATTAAATGTTATTCAAAACTTACATCGTCGTTTTGCATTTTTTAAGCAAAAAGTTTTAATAAATCGATCGATGCAAAATATACTCAGCCACGAGTTTTTAATCAAAACAAAAGTAAACAAAGATTTTAATTTTAAAAGTAAACTCTAGTTACAACGATTATATTTGGCTTTCTTGGCTTTCAGACATACTGGATACACTATTCATACGTATTCTAAGTATATGGAGTATATGGTAATAAATTGGTAACAACTGGCTTCATTACTAATTGTTATATTAATCTTTTTAAATCTCGAACGTTTCAATCATTTACTTTTATCATATTAACCATTTTTTCTACTTTTACATTTATATATAAAATCCACGTCAATGTTGCTCTGGCTTGCAAAGAAGCTTATGATGACATGAGTACAGTATGAATGACAATGATTTAGAAAAATAGCTCCGAAAGCTTTAATTGAAATATGTTTACGAGGCGATTGCTCAATTCAATCGCTTGATAACGAGCAACTGAATTCGTTACTACTTATCAAGTATATTAATTATACCTAAAAACCCCGATTTATGATCGCCTTGATTGATTGATCGATTGATTGATAGATCGATTGATTGATCGATCGATGGATTGATTGATTGATTGATTGGTTGATAGATTGGTTGGTTGATTGATTGATTGATTGATAGATAGATTGATTGATTGATTGAAATATGCCATAAAATGTGAAAACTATTGACGGTTTCCTTTTTTCGTCGCCATTTGCATCAATATTGTACCAGCGAAATAAACGTTATATTATAAATTATGCCAGCAAATTTTGTCGATCATATTGAACCTTCCAAACCAGCCATAATGTCAACTGATGATCAATTGAATACAACATGATTATTATAAAGAAAATCTTAAAATAAAATAATCTACCTAAAATTGCGAGAAAAAGACTAAATAAATAAAATAAAATAAATGTAGTACATAGAGATATTATATTATAATATTGGAGTGGATATGGTTTTGGAAACTTGGAAGCAACACGTGACACATGGGTTTAATAAATTTGAACTGTAACTGTTTATGGCGCGTATTTAATAGGTATTTTACTAGCCCCCTTTTCTCTTTCTCTCCTTCTTTTACCTCTCTTTCTCGCTCTCTTTCCACACACGGCGGCACCAAACAATTCTGTAAAAAAAACTTTGGCCGTCTATTTTTATACCGTGTAAATTTAAAGATGGTTATTTAAGTTTTGCTGCCACGAAATTTCAATAGTAACTATTATTTAACGTTATTTATTGTTATTAACGTGTGGCTATAGTCGTGGAGACAAGAATTCTGCTATAGCAGGCCTCTTATTGAATTCAAAACCGATGATCAAAAACTAAATAAAATTAATGCTAGAATTGTCATACCACTAAATTTTGTAACAAACATGTAAACAAACAAAGAAAAAATACTTGCCATGGAATATACAGACAGCTTACATTGAATACATACACAAACAAACACACAAAAACACAACACAGACAAACAAATAAATCTGAATTGCCTAGTAATGATTTTTTGTTACCATCAGGCTTAAGTGTTGTAAGAAACGGCGCTGCTATATTATTATAACTAACGTAATATTACAATAAGCATCGCCAGTCACGTGCGGTGGTTTGATGAAAGAGTACGGTATATTAATGTGTTATTTATCACCATTAGTTGATCGTTGTGTTGATTATTTTTATGTGTCGTATGAGTGACAGAGAGTTATTTATTTAATTTATTTTCCATGAACGTTGTGTTGTCCCAACCACTAAATATAATGACGCTCTCTTGTTGAATGTCATTCATGTTTAATTTTCTTTTCAAAGTTTTTAACTTTTTATGCGAGTAAATGCGAAACTAATTTTATTAAATGCATTAGAAATGACGATGTAGTAGCCTAATCTAATTTCTAACGAATTATCAGCTGATTAGTTTTAACGGAGAAAAAAATTTCTTGTACTTCCATTGGGTAGGATGTGAAAATTTTAAATAAACTTTTATCATCATCTTCAAACGCGTTCTTATCTCTTTTTGCTATCTGCCTCTACAAATTTCAAAGAATTTTCTACGTTTTAAATGTTGAGAAAAAGGAGGCAGACGATACGCGAATAAACTATGCTTTCGACGTTCGTCAGCAAGAAAAAATTTCATTTATCACATTTTCAAACATTAAAAAAAATTGACATTAATAATTAGTATTTTGAATTTTGTTTATGAAATTTATTATTAATTTACTGACATTTTTTGTTCAAACTATTATCCATTTAACGACGTGCTAGCGATTTTCTTTCTTTTTCAATTCTCATAAAAAGGTTATAGACAGTATCTTTAATACACTGTAAATATTTTACATTAAATTATTCCTTAAAAATGAACTAGAAACAACAAAGTCTGTATTGTGTCAAAGGTTGAGAAATATTGACTAAATTAATTGGAAGACAAACGGCAAATGAATCAATAGTTATAAGCCAAATATACTTATCGAAAAACATCTACCGATCCATCCATTCATTCATCCCTCCATCCACACATTCATTCGTTTATTCATCCATCCTTCCATCTATCTATCCGTCTAAGAGTTTTTTTTAAGAGAGTTGTCAATCAACCGCCTGTCAATCGACATAACACTTGAAAGTTCGAGAGATGGATAAATGGATGGATGAATGGATGGAGGAATGGATGAATGGAGAAGATAAAGGATGGATGGATGGATGCAAAAAAAGATGAAACAAATCCTAGCAGCCTTAACGATAAAATTGCAATAAAAATCTTTTTGAAACTCTTGCGTTGATGCAAGAGCGTAAACAACGAGCACAAATGCAAATATTATTACCACCGTTATTGTTCTTGTCGGCTAATAACAACATCATTAACGTTGTTGTTGTTGTTGCTGTTTTTTATTACTAAAAATGTTGTTGTTTAAAATCAAAGATATTTTACTCGAAGTGTGGTTGGTAGTTCATACGAGAAGTTATTGCTTTTACTATTTAGAATGCAGATGCCAACTTTATTAATGACATTAACAAATGATGGCCGTTGTTGACCAATGTTGACCAATACTAAAAGAAAAGGTTTTTTGTAGAGTGTTTGTCTTTACTCAATTGTATTCCATCAAAGAAGGTCAGTGAAATTATTTTTCATTTATTATTTTATTTTAATTGTTCACTAGCCACATAAAAAAATAATACAGATCGAAAATATTAAACTAATGATAAGAAATGGTCTGCAATCATGACTGCAACTACAACAACATTATAGAATGGCGTGCCAGGGAGGAACCGAATCATGAAAGAGGAAAATATCGAAGATTTTGTGTAACATAAAGTAATAAAGTGAACGGAAATTAGAAAAAAGATTGTAAACTTAAAAATAATTTTGAATAAATCATTTTCCATTAAAATGGGAACCTGCAAAAAGGTCATCAGCCATTCTAGAAATTTTAAAATCACCCTTCTCGCGAAACTCTGGATCCACGTACGCTGACATTATATAAAACTAATTTGTGAAACATATTCCTTTGCTATAATATATAATACCGTTAAATTTTTCAATTAACTTTTTAAATTGTTATACATCATCATGTATTGAATTCAAAATTGCAGAAGAAATTAAATTGCAAATCTCAATCACAAACTCACATACACCATACTCACGTCCTAATGGACCAAACAAGCACCACGGCAACAGCAAAAATAAATAAGATAATGAGATCTTCTATTCAACTTCTACCTTTTTACTGCCATCATCATCCATCATGGAATATCTTATTCTTCTTTAAATTATTCAGTTGGTTCCTGGGTGTCTGAGCATTCCTTGTAGCATCAGAAAGTGCATCAACCTTTCAAATATTTCATCCCATTTGATCATTCGCTGCTTAACACGACCAGCAATATGACTTTTACCACTAAACTTCTTTTTAATTTATTTGTTCTTACCGAAAAAAGAGCCATGTATTTAAATGAGTTATTAAGCTGTATAATTTTGCGAAGTAAGCATGAACACGCGTGAATAATAACTTATGAATCATTCCTTGCATACAAAAATTGGATATATGGGAAGAAAATAATTTTTAAATAGTCAATGGCTGGAAAATTTTTCCCAAGTTAATAAGCATCAGACAAACCATTAATAAGTGAATACGTGAACGGCCTTTATAAAGGACGGTACTCTGAAAACTTGCAACGACAAAAATCTGAAGGTAAGAAGTTTTTCAATAGAAAACAAATTCTGGACCAGCATTCCCTCCTCATTCTGTCAGACGACCAACCAACCAACCAACCAACCAGCCAGCCAGCCAGCCAGCCAGCCAGCCAACCAACCAACCAATCAGCCAATGTGAACATTGCGGATTACCGCCACAGTATTAAAGGATAGCTGGTGGTACTTTCCAAATATAATTAATGAAGATATAAATTATAAATTAAATGTCACATGATTAATAATCGTTACTTAAAAGTTCCAGAAGCGATGTCTAAATTTTTAAATCATCATCATCATCATCATCATTTTGATTACTACAACATTGTCGTCATCATCATCAACATCGTTATCAACATCGTTATCATCCTCATCATCATCATCATCGTCATCATCGTCGTGTTGATAGATGATAATGTCATCATCATCGCCATCATCGTCGTCATCATCAATGCTAGTACAAAAAATTTTAATCTGTTTATAGAGGTTGCAATTTGCAAATGCTCGTCTCCACGGTGTTATAAAAACTTAATCCTCTTATTTTATTTTAGTCAAATGCTACTTCTACTACTATTACTACTTCTCTGACTACTACTACTACTACTACTACTACTACTACTACTACTACACTACTACTACTACTACTACTATTACTATTACTACTACTACTACTTCAAAAACTACTACTTTAACTACTACGAATAAGTCTACTACTGCTACTATTACTACTGCTA